AAAAAAAAAAAAAAAAAAAAAAAAAAAAAAAAAAAAGAATGGCTTGGTACTGATTGTTGGAGCTCAATAGCATTTACTCAGACATTGAAAGATGAGACCTCGGTGATTGAAACGGTTGCTGGAAACATCGAATGTTGTAACAGCTTAAATGATTGGGACAGGGGTCTGTTTAGACCAGAAAATTCCCGTTCTTTATTTATGTGCTTGAAAAGCAATCTATCGTTCTGAAACATGGCTGGGGCCATCAGCCTCATGAACAAGACTTGGAGCTGAAGGGGCAATGGAGATAAACTTTTGATTATTGGCTGCATTAATGAGTACTATCTGATGCTGAACAATAACCCTCCCCCCCCCCACACACACAGTGTTAGATTGAAACATCTCTTACTTTCTGGCCATCTATTATAGCGTGGGGGCTCACATGGTTCCACTGCGTGGTTTTCTCATCGTTTCCAGTAGAGTCACAGTCGGGTGGCTGCTCTGGCCGGGGTGCTTTCCTGAAGAAGGGCACCCGTCATCCCGAGCGTCACCCGGGACTGCTGGCCAGAGCTCAGTTCGTGCAGCTTCGCTTCTCTTGTTGGGATCCCAAAACAAGCTTCCCAGGGGGAACGGGCAGTGCCCCCTTGAGTTGTGTGGCAGCAACAGCCGCATTTTCCCCACCCCCATTCCTTGAAGCCAAAGTCTAATCCCATTGAAGAGCTGGAGCTCGACTCTTCCCTGTGGAAAATGCCAAAGAATTTAGGACCCAACTTTTAACACTGAAACTTAAATGAGGGAGAAACAGTTAGACATATCCAGAATGCCAGAAATTCTGTAATGAACTTGACTTGGACTCTTCAATCAATGGATGCCAGTGGGGGAAGGATGGATGGCTCTTTATTAAAAGAGACCGAAGGGTCAACAGCTAACTCTAAACTCTAAACTGATGCTGGACTCTGGTCTGGGATGGGGTTTCCAAAATATATCAATGACAGTTTAGTAAAACTTGGAAAATTCAGAAATAAAATGTATCGTAGAATATGAAGTTGGCCTTTTTATGTCTTAGTTTTTTCCCTATGCACAACTTTCAAATCACTCAGAAAAAAAAAGGAGTCAGGAGGAATGTAAAGGACACTTGGAAAAACTATAATGACTTTTGGGCCTGTATGGGGGGGATACCAGTGTGCACTGAACATTCTCCATCATTTGGGTAAATGTGAAAATGCCCCTAAAGTGCTATGCTTTCAATATTGCAGCTGCATATTATGGACACAAGGTGGCGATAGACGCACTTTTGAGTTTTTGTGAAAACGTGTGTAGCACTAACTGCATCTAGAAGTAAGTAATTTCTATGTAAAAATCCTTGCTGGCCTGATCTAGGAAGAGAAACGTGTAAAGGTGCCTCAGAAGGCAGGGAGCCCTGAGAGAGTTCACAAACGAGTAGTTAACACGTAAATCAGCTGGAAGTCTAAGAAGCAACAATTGGGCTGGAGCGAGGTCTGGGCTCAAATCCTGGCGTTCCTGCTGATTAATTTTGTGACTTTGCCAAGACATGTGGCTTTGAGAGGCAAAACGGGGAGACTGGTTTTGAGGATTTGGGGCTTTTCTTCTGGTTGGAAGAGCCACCATTTCCTGCCCCCCCAAACACACACACACACACACACACACACACACACACACACACACACACACACACAATGATAAAGAAGATTGAAATTTTAGGTGTATCTGCAATTGTAGATGCTATGATTTTTTTGTGCAGTGTCTCTATTTGTAGAACAGAAGTTAATCCCAGGGCACAGGGGTGGTGTGTGAGAACTGAGCTGCCGTGGAGCAGAAGTGTAAAGGTCCCCTGTGCTGGTGCACAGTAGGGTAACTGTAGATAATGATAAAGTACCTAAAAGGGAGAAAAAAATCTAAAAGAACAATTGAATGTTTTCATTGTAAAGAAATGATAAATGTTTGAGGCAAGGGAAGAGGTTTAGGTGGGACTTCCTGGCAGGGAGAGTAGGTAGGAGGAGTAATTTAGGCTTTGGGGTGGGGAGGTAGCCGAAGAAAGAAAAGAGACACTAGAGAGACGCCAGGGCCCAGCCAAGGAGACACAGAGGACATACAGAATGAAAGAAAGGTAAAAAGCTCCAATGCAAAACATAGATGAATAGAAACAGGTTAAATTAAGTTAAAAGAGCTAGTGGGACAAGAGTTCATAATTAAAAATAAATCTCTGTGTCTTTATTAAGGAGCTGATTGGTGGCCCAAAGAAAATCCAACTGCATGTTGTGAATAATATGCATGTCCGTCCAGCTGTGCTAGGCATGAGACGGCAAATAGCAGATTGCCTTTGCTGGTTCACTTTCGGATACAATTTGCCTTATTGAGCATGCACCAATACCAGTCTAGACCAGACTGACCCATTTCTATAGTTCCCAGATACAGTAATAATATGTTTGATTAGAAACTGTCAATGTCTGATGGTCCTTAGGGGGCTGAAAACCTTCTTCCACTGTTTAAGGTGGTTTGCAGTACAGCTCTATGGGTGTGGTGGTCTTGGGGTGCTAACAGATCGCTAGGCGCATTGCTTAGAGAGGGGTGAGTGTGTGCATAGCATGTACAGGAAAGGAACTGACGGTGCCAAATGCATTACCAGAAGAGAGGTGTGTGCATAACTCAAATGAAGGAGGTTCCCGGGTTACTGAATTCTTCCCATGCTTGTCTGCCTCATTAGTTCACTCCAACTAATTCCATGAGTAGTGTTTGTGTTGTTGTTTCTGACCAACTTACTATCTCCCCCAGTGTATTAGTTGCTTTTCTATTGTTACGACAAAACACCATGACCAAGGTGAGCTGTAATAGAAGGAAGAGTTTATTTTGGCTTTTGGTTCCAGAGGATTAGAATCCATAATGGCAGGAAGAAGGCAGAGAGCATGGTGGCTGGAGCAGAAAGCTGAGAGCTTACATCTTGAACTGAAAGCTTGAAGCAGAGCAAAGGACAAGTAGGTGAGGCTTTTGCTCTCAAAGGCCACCTCCAGTGACATGCTTCTTCCAGCAAGGTTGTTCTCCTAAACCTTCCCAAACAGTGCCACCAACCGGGAACCAAGCGATAAAATGCCCAAGGCTATGGAGGACATTTATCATTTAACTCAACACATCCAGGCTGGCCTTGAACTCATGATCCTCGTGGCTCAGCCTTCCCAGTTCTGCAAACAGAGACAGAGCCATCAGTCCCTGCAACAAGAACATTTTAATAAGATTTTGCAACTCATTATTCTGTGCTGTTTGCAGATGACCTCAGACACAGAGTGAGGGTCACAGACTCCAGGATATGATCCAGTGCTCCTCAACTGTCTGGATTTCTTTCCACAGAACACTTCGCTTAAATGTCACATCTGCATCTCTGTCCCCTTTACAGAATAAAGAAACTGGACACGGGCATCTGTAGGAGTCACAGTGGCTTTCGAGTCCAGGCTTTGTGCCACTAACTGTGCCCTGAGGGGAGGGGTGACCAACAGCTCAGACAGATTGAGTGCAGGGATCTGGTTGGATGGGGAAGTAATGAAGACAGGATTCGCAGTCAGGAGTCATTACACACGGTCTCAGAGACCAGTTTTGGTTCCTTTTGGCAGATCCACATGTTGTGTGAAGCACAGGCATCAGAGAACACTTTATTCTTTGAGACGGCGGCACAGCTGTCTTTTTTAGCTTCACCAGTGATTTGTAACCTGACAGGAAGAGAACGGGGGCCACTTTTAGTGTTTAGGATTTTCCCGTAATTATCCTATCAGTCATTGTTTTCTTTGAAATTTAAAGGAAACAGTAGGATGCACAGTCGTTATATACAGTAAATACAAACATAATGATATAAATATTGAAGGCGGATCTGATTCTAAAACCTACAGTTTCTACATTGGCAGAGAACCCTTCCAGCAAGAATCTTCAAAATGAAGCAGAAAACGGAGATGGTTTGAAGGGATGGTGACCTCCTCACTGCACTGCTACCTACTACCTCCCACACCATGTGGAGAGCTTTTTTTTTTTTTTTTTTTGAGTCTGTTTTTTTTAATATATAGGGTTAGGGGCTGAAAGATAGTTCATTGGTTACGAGCACTGGCTGCTCTTGCAAAGGACCTGAGTTCAGTTCTCAACACCCACATGGAGGCTCACAGTGTCTATAACTCCAGTACCAAGGGATCTGATACCCTCTTCTGGCTTCCATGGACACCAGGCATTCATGTGGTATACATACACACATGCAGACAAACACTTTATATGTGAACCAAAAATGAATGGATCTCTCAAAATAGTATAATAGCAGAAAATCTAAATATATATATATATATATATATATATATATATATATATATACATGTATGTGGCTTAATTAGCTTGGGGAACTATTTATTATATACATGGATGTATGACAACAGTTACACACAGTAGGTGCTCAATGAATGTATTCAATACACAGAGAGAGTTCACAGGGTCCTGATTACAGAATTGGATGCAGAGAAGGAAGGAGGCTCAGCTCCTGTTATACGGAGTCACAATTCCTTTCATTCTCCTCCCTTAGGTTGGCAAGTATTTGATTGACACATGGGTTTCAAACTGCATTTCGGGGTTGATGGAGTTCTAAGCACACTGGTGGGTCCTAAAAAGATGGTGGCATGTGACAGAGGGCAGGGCTCCCTGGAGGGTGTCTCCCTTTGTTTAGTTTTTAGTGGAGCCCTTAGGCTTGAGAAGTGAATCTGATGCCATCCTACTGGTCAGCTTGCCTGCTCAGTCATGATTCTCCTCTCTTATTTCTTTTATGGTCAGGATTTCCCTTCAGCTTTCTGGATAATTTCTTTAGGACCAATCTGTTTAAGTCAATGACTTCCTTTCACAATTCCTTTAAGGCTTCCAGGCCTTCACCTACCAGACTCCTGGAGAGTTCTCTAACATTCCCTATTAATTCCCAAAACAGTCCTGTGGGGGAAACTGTACTCTCTCCTTTCCCTTCCCTGAAGCCCCAGACAGAGCGTTAAAACAAAAGCTGGGCTTCCTTGACTGACTCTCTACTGAGCACAGCAGCCTCCAGGCTCACCAATGGCTCTTGTCTAATCACAGTAAAAGGACAGATTAGCCCAGACTAATCCATACACCTCACATATATTTCTGTACATCAATCTTTTTATGTTTAACAATTCTATACCCAATAAACTGCCATTACATTTCACATTTCAAGCTCATGTGTTCTGAATAACAAGAAGTACATTTTCTTGTAAGATTTGCTTAAATTGGCTGGGCGTTGGTGGCACACGCGTTTAAGCCCAGCACTGGGGAGGCAGAGGCAGGAGGATCTCAGTGAGTTCAAGGCCAACCTGGTCTCCAGAGCGAGTGCCAGGATAGGCTCCAAAGCTACACAGAGAAACCCTGTCTCAGGAAAAAAAAAAAAAGATTTGCTTATATTTATTCAAGCAAGATTAATAAAAACAATTGTCAATATCATTCCTAAAAACCTCATAGGAAGCATTGTATAGAGATTTGACTGAGGGCGGTGGTAGCACCCTTTTAACCCCAGCATTTTGGAGGCAGAGGCAGGTAGATCTTTGTGAGTTTGAGGCCAGCCTGGTCTACAGAGTGAGTTCCAGGACAGCAAGGGCTACACAGAGAAACCCTGTTTTGAAAAACACCAACAAAAAAGAAAGAAATTAGACTGAATCCTACATACTTTGCTTATGAAAGGAAAGAATATCTTGTTATACAAAAAATCATGAATTCTGCTAAAATATATAACTTAACTCAGATATGTCAGCTCTCTCATTTCACAGTTAGCATGACAATCTCACACAATAAGACAACGACAACACACCAAAGAGCTAATGGCATTCTTTGTGACTTATACACACTTATAGTTTTGATATCCAGTAGCCTAAGAAGTCATGTGGAAGATAGCTAGGACACTGTTGAAAGGAGACAGGATCATGGGTTCAATGCTCCATCAAGGAATTAACCCATTGCTGAGTAACCAGCCAAACAAACCGAGGCCACCCGGGAAGATGTGGGTCATGGGGGTGGGGGGTTGAAGGGCAGAATTTTGTTCCCCATCCCACCCTGGGGGATGCCATCTCCTCTGCTTCCTGCCCATTATGAGGTGAGCAACTTTGCTGTGCCCTTAAACAACCACACTTCTGCATTGCCACAGGGCTAGCAGCAATGGAGCAAGCTGAGGAAGGGCTTGAGGCCCTTTGAACTGTGAACCAAAATGACTTTCCTTTCTTGTTTTTCTGAGATATTTTGTTACAACAAAAGCTGCTAAAGCCTGTTTTCATCACAGCTCCTCAGATAATTGTGTCTTTCACAATGCCAGGTAAACTACATTGCAACCTGTGACAATGTGGTCATTCCTCTCAGCTGACAAAACTCCCTGCTGACTCTGCTTTTCCTTCCACACTCACTCTCCCTGCACTGGTTGTGACCTGAGAAACTGGCCTTGTGACACACTATGGCTCATTTTCACCAAAGTACCACTTAAGAAACATTTTGGAAATATGCAAAGTGTAAGAGGGAAAAAAGAAAAGGTCTATGTGCTTACAGACTCTAAGTAGGCATTGTAACATGCATTCTCTTTCCAATGGAGTTCGTCTAGTTCCAGCCTTAGGAGTCCATTGTACACACACACACACACACACACACACACACACACACACCTATATACATACAACCTTAAACAAAGCTGATACCTTTTCATACATGGAAATTGTCAACTGCCTTTGGAATCATATATTCAGACTGTTCTGAACCTCTTTAATCTTCCGTATCAGTGTTAGAGCCCTGAAACTTTAGACTCACAAAGATAAGATAGATGATAGAATATTTTCTTTAAATTTTGCTAAATGTTAATGTTAACTAAATATTGTAACTATAGTTCTTTCTTGATAACTGTTTTGTTACATATTTTATTATATTAATGTTAAAACCCTTCTTTTTATTTAGACAGAAAAGAGGAGATGATAAGGAAAGTCCTTCTGTGTATATGTTTATCTTATTGGTTAATAAATAAAGCACTGTCGACCAATAGGGGAGCAAGTTAGTCAGGACTAAGAGAGGAGGAGGATTCTGGGAAATGTAGTAAAGAGTCAAGTCGCCCTGTGATCCCAGCAAGAGAGGACACATGCCACCGGCGTCCTTGGTAAGATAAATCTTTATAAAATATATAGATTAATGGTTATGGTTGATACTTAGGACAGAGCCAGGATAAGAAATCCTAGTCATAGGCCAGCAGCATTGTAAATAATATAAGACTGTGTGTTTCCTGACTCAGCATAAGGGGGTAAAAAAAAAAAGCAGGGCTCTTTTAAAGAGGCCCTGCTAACAATTGAGCAGTTGGCAGTGGCAGTGACCACATCTCCAAGCTGGCAGCCTGCTGCTTGATGGCAGCACAGACCAAGGCAGTGAGTACAGCTCTGGATGCTAGTGGTAAATGTAGCCCCCACCACCACCACCACCACACACACACTTGGAAAGACAGCAGCTAAAACAGCCACGGCTTTAGTTTTAGCAATGTTGTTTAGGAGATAAAAGGCTTGTGGCCAGAAAAAGATAAAGATTTACAATAAAGACAGATTCCGATGAAGAAAAACCTCTAAAGGTTTACAATGTGTTTAAAAATATATGTAGGCTTGTGAGAGAAAAGAACAGGATTTCCCCCTACAGCCCTGAGATGACCTGACACGAATAATCAAGTTAGCTGCTCCGATACTCACCCATGAGAACTTAAAGTTGAGCCGTTTACCCACTTCCATTTCTTGTCCCGCAACGTGTAATATAGTCCAAGCCAAAATGTAGTGCCTTTTGCATTTGCTGAGTCCTTTATGAAGCTCTATAATCAAAGCAGAGCAGAGGACTAACCCTGAGCCTGTGCGCTGCGACTCACATTCCACCAGCCTCCTGAATCCGAGGTCAGGAGTCACCTGTATCCGTCCCGAGTCCCCAGCACACTTCATTCTTCCCCCTTGAGGAATCTGTGCCCCGAATCTAGGACCCCAGGACACTCCCCTCACATGTGCAGTTATTGGCTCCCATGTCCCGGTAGTCTCTCCGTCAGCTTCCACAATGTCCCGTCTCCACTTCCTTTGCATGAAAGAACTGTAAAGTCTAGAGAAGTTGGTGTAGCTTCAAGAGCAAACTAATTCTCCATTTTACCTGGAACTTACCAGTTCCTCTTGGTCTCGAATGAGCAGAAAAGTGGCTCCTTTTGTAGCACAGTCAGCTAGACCTCTCTTCCAAATGTGGCTGTCTTGAGAAAAATGTATGCATTTATCTCGGTGTAGAAGCCAGTCTCTTGAGCAGCTAAAATACTTATTAATACACACTTTTATTAACACATGCAGGAGCGAAATTGCTGTTATGGCATTTTAAAGAAATACAAGGTATTAATTTTTGTTTCTTTAACTAACTTTAGACACAGTTAACTGTTTGACACATTTGTTAAAACAAATATCCCAGTTGAGTGTGTTCTAAAGTTAATGATCTAGTGTGCCAGCATGGTGAGGCTGCATGGCCAAGTGGTTAAGATCTCAGGTTCAAGGTCACACAGTTTCAAAGAAGTTCCCAGCATTATCAACTACCAGTCATGAGACCTTAACAAGTTTTTATGCAGTATTCTAACATAAGACCATGGCACTGTAATGTCTTCATGGTAACTGGTTTAAGCCTCGGCTGATGTAAGCCATGGTAAATGGCAAATGTCAGCTGTTTTTCTTGGGAAAGTCAGGCTGCAAAAATTACCTGCTTTTTTAGTGATGTTCTCTTGAATACACACACTGCATTTTTCTATGGATGGTTTTTGTATTAAGACTCGCACTAGTAAATAAGAAAATATACAGAGAGGATTAAATGCTGAAATGAATGGTGGAACAGGTGTTCTCCTTCCCACTTCAGGAAATCCAGCTGTTTCAACAAACCTGAGCATCTGGACTGGGGATAAAATACCTTCAGCTGGACTGAGGGACCAGTTTGGAGACAGAATGTATAAAAAAGAAGAAAAGCACAGAATATGTGGATTCTTGCCACTGTGAACCACATATCATCTAATGGCCTTACAGGAACTCTGAACTCACACACACTCACGCCTGAATTCTCATCTTCAGAATGAGGGTCATCACACCCTCCAAGAAAGACAGCTCACTGCCATTGGAGTTTAGTAACCACTGAATAAACTAAACACTTGAGCCTTTTAGATTTCTTTGTTGTTGTTTTTGTCACAATTATGACTTTAAGTTTCTGGGTAAAGTGTGTTGTTGGGTTTTTAATCAGCTAAGAACACATACCGACACCAAATCCTCAACACAAACCAGATTTATTAACCTGGATGGAGGGGAGAGGTGATAACTTTGTTTGGGGTGGATTTTTAAAGAGAAAATGGGAAGTCTGTGTCAGGATGAGTTGCTCAGTCCTGACTGGACAGGTTTGCCAGTATAGCCAAAAAATGAATTTGGATTGTTGGATCTTGGTGCTCAGTCTCAGGAACTTTCCGTGGACAAATAAGGGAATGGACTTTGGAGGCTGGTTTAAGAATGTAATCTAACAGCTTAGCAAGGAAGAGGAAAGGGGAAAGGACAAAGTCTGCAGGTGCCTTGCTTGTCATGAACGGGCCTGAAAGAGAGTCCTTCATGTGTGTCAGCCACTAATGACTCTCAGAGAAACTCGGAATCCTGAAAGAAATGTGAAGCTTCTGTTCTGGACATGGATACTGTCCTGTAACTACTCATGTCATTGACCTTCCCCCAGGCTCACGGGGGCCAAACCATAGGAAGAGGAGCTGATATTTAGAGGAACAATTCTGAACAAAAGTTCATGGCTCACTTACCTAAAACACTCATCCCAATCAGGGTCAAGAGAAGAAGGATGAGCCCAGCACAGCTGAGTTTCAGAGCCCACCTATGGGAGCGTGGGCACTGACAGGCATCTGTGAAGTTAAACACTTGTTACTCCTCTAAGTCTGCTGAGCACATCTGGAGTTAATGTGAAAGGTGGTTTGGGTTAACATGGACAATTGGATTCGAGTGGAGGGTGGGCTGTGGATGTGAGCCTTTCTCTGCCAACTTCCAGCAGAATTTCATGAGATGAATTCTCCATTAAGTTCAAGAGTTTGCTTTCATAAAGTAGGACTGAAGAATAACGCATATGCATGTACTGGGTAGGAGTATTGGGTGACTCAAACTTGGTAGATTGGAAGAGGTGTTGAAACCACTGAGTGCTGTAAAAACAGACGGCACATCCTGTTGCAGGGAGGGTGTCAAAATGACTCTAAGGAGGACCTTCGTTTACTCAAGAGACAGTTTTGATGCTCGTTTTTGTGGTAATTGTGACCTTTGGTGCTAATGATATGTGACTCTGTTCCATAACATGGAGTCTGCTTCACTGCAGTCTACAAGGGTCTTCTCCAACTTGTAACAAAGCTATGGCATCCAAAGAGTGGGATCTCATGAGTCCACATAATATTTTCAGTATTTCAATCACATTAGTTCTATTGGCTGAGTTCTACAGCCTCTTAATGGATGTACTGGAAATGTGGCTAATAAAACATTCTATGTATACTGTTACACACACATGGATACACACACACACACACACACACAGAGAGAGAGAGAGAGAGAGAGAGAGAGAGAGAGAGAGAGAGTAAACACAAACTTCACATGGTGTCTGTAGCTTTCACAGTGTTCTTTCCTTAAATAGAGTACTCTCATAACTCTTTTTGTTGTGCTCTGTACGGTTTCTGAGATAGAGTGGCTCATTAGTTCAGGCTGACCTCTCTGTGTGGCTGAAGATGACCTTGAGCTCCTGATTCTCCTGCACCCACCTCCAGGTGTTGGGATTCTAGGTGTGTACCACCCACAGCTGGGGAAAAGCAAAGATTTGCTTGTGCCTATCACAAATAACTGTCTCTGTCAAGTCCTCCCTCTAATTATCAAAATCCCCCTCTTTCCCCAGACCTTTAAGAGATAATAATGAAGCTTATTTCATGATTCTAAGACATTTCTGATTTTAAAAAGTCTGTTAATTTCATAGTTTCTGACAAGCACCCATAAAAAGTTATGGTTCATATTCTTGACACAATACAGAAAGAGGAAATTTACACACATGTGGTATTATATAAGCTCAGTTACATGAGACTCTCTTACTATATACCATGACCATTTTAGATTCATTTTCTGCCTCTCTCTCTCTCTCTCTCTCTCTCTCTCTCTCTCTCTCTCTCTCTCTCTCTCTCTATCTCTCTATCTCTCTCTCTATCTCTCTCTATATATCTCTCTCTATCTCTCTCTCTCTCTCTCTCTCTCTCTCTCTCTCTCTCTCCATCCATCCCTAAGTCATGGCAGCCTTCATATTTGTCTCATGTCAGTCTTCCACATTTCTGTCACTCAGATTTCAAGTCTCTGGGAGACAGGGTGCTTGCTGATTCCACCAGTGCTCAGCGCTAGAATGCTGAGGAGCTGAGTTGTAGTGTTTCTGCTCTGTAGAGAAGTTTGGACCACACAAGATACTTTATAGCAAGTCTCTTTGATGTCCCTTTCCCTGTAGGTGTAAAATATCCTTTCTTCAGGGTCTTGTGACTAAAGCTGAAATAATCTCTGTCCAGTTTTCACACTGACTGACTGACTGACTAAATGTAGAATATATGAGCTTTAGATCTCTAAAGTTGTGGCCATCTACCCTCTTCAGCACAGACAGACAGCATCTTCAAATCAACAACTTATGTAGGAAGAAATCCTAACTCTGGAAGACATTCTAGTACCAAAAGGAGAAATAAAGCTACTGACCTGGGGGAAGACATGGAGGTGATGCACGCTGAGGCTCTGGACTCCTGGATGCCTTTAAATTCAAGTAGACCTTTGATGTGTCCATTGCAGATGGGAGACGTGACAGTGAACCTGTGAGCTGGGACAAACTCCAAGTTGTGTGAGGTGAAATGAGCAAAGGGAAGTCCCCTGTGAACACTCTGCTGTGTGTGTCCACACCCACCCACACTGGTAGCTGAGAGTTTCTCCATAGTTTCTGACCTTGGTGTCTGTCCTGCCCACACAGCCTACACACAACTATCTTTTTTCTTTTTCTTTATTCCTCACTCATACAGTACATCCCAACTGCAGCCTTTCTCCCTCTCCTCCTCCCAGTTCACCCCACCTTCTATCTCCCTCAGACCCCCTTTTCTTCCATTTCCCTTCAGAAAAGAGCAGCCCTTCCAGGGATATCAACCAAACACAGGATAACAAGATGCAGTAAGACTAGGCACAAACCCTCACATCAAGGCTTGTTGAGGCAACCCAGTGGGAGGAAAAGGGTCCTGTGAGCAGGCAAAACAGTCAGAGACACCCCCAGCTCCCACTGTTAGGAGTCCCACAAAAAAACCTAAGCATGTATAAAGATGACCTAGTGTAGACCTATGCAGGCTCCTTGATTGTACGTCAGTTTGTGTGAGCCCTTGTGAGCCCTGCTTAGTTGATTCTGTGGTCCGTGTCCTTCTGGTCTCCTCTACCCCTCTGGCTCCTACAATCATTTCTCCCCATGTCTCCTGGAGTTCCTGGAACTCCACCTAATGTTTGGCTGTGGGTCTCTGCATCTGCTCCCCTACATTCATTATCTTAAGAAAATAATTTGTAACATATGGTCTACTTTTATTAGCAAAACTCAAGGGAGACTTCTTGTTCTGAATCCTGGAACCATCTGTTTTGAGTTATTCTCTCAGGGTGATGCTCGATGTGAGTCAAATGTAATGCTCTTCCTCAGTTCAAATTTAAGTGGCCACTTTCCACAAATTATCAACAATTAAGATATACAGCATATTATGCTGTGTTGTAAAAATAAATACTAATATGTGAAGATTCCTGGGTATAGCTGACATGGATTGAAGCTCTAAAGCACTCTGGAAGCATCCAAGCTGTGACGGAAGCTGTGGGGTGTGGAAATGAGGACAAGAATGTGGAAAACACTCATGACCGATGCAATGGGAAGAGCAATGAGGAGGGAGCCTCACAGGCTGCTCAGCCTTGTCCTGAAGATCTGTGTGGATGCAGCATCACTCACCAGAGTGAAAGGACTTCATCTGTCAGAGCCACAGAGAGAAGAGGGCAGAGGTCTTCGGGACATGCTAACTCCTCCAAGGATTTCCAGGCCTGGAGCCTTAGAGCAGGACTACAATTGCCAAGTCAGACATTCTCAGATTAGAGAAGAAGAAGAAGAAGAAGAAGAAGAAGAAGAAGAAGAAGAAGAAGAAGAAGAAGAAGAAGAAGAAGAAGAAGAAGGTGAAGCTTTCCTACAGTCATTGTGGTCAGTGTGGAATTGTACCAGGTACTTACATGGCAGTGGCATCAGTCTGCTGGCTCTGAGTTCCAGGAGACAGGAGGTGTGTACTCATTGTATGGGGCTCACACTCATTCCCCAAGACCACTGATGATTACAAAGTGAGGGGAAGCCTGTGTGAGGGTCTCACAGCACACTTAAGATTCTGTGAAACCTCCTCAGCTGTCATTGTTTGATGACAGGCGTTTCACTCAATGCCAGGCACAGGGTTCTGCCTTAGACTCCATCTATTTATTTTTGTTGCACTGGGGATTGAATTTAGGGTCCCATGGGTTTGAGGCAAGCACTCTACCACTGAACAATGTTCCTGGCCCTTGGTGCTTTGCTTAAAATGTAGGTTTTGGCAATTACACAAGATTTTGCAGAGCTTTCCATCTTGAGTGATTATTTTTTACAATCAAACATAGAGAATTTATGAAAATATTCTCAAGTCTCAGTACATAATAAATTCAGCTTATAAGACCTTTGGACCGTAGTATATAGAGGACTCACCTGATTGCTTATGAGTGGTCTTGTCCCTGACTATAATCCCCTTCCCTTGCCAAGACACTGGTAGCTTGTGTGAATAAACATTGCAACTATTTAGGTGTTTATACCCCCCTAGTAACCTGGTTACCAATGACAACTGTGGGGATGTAGTAGAAAGATCAAGAAGTCTGATGCTCTTTGCAGGAGATTCAAAGGATGCTTTGTGGACACTGAGGTTTAACTAAATTCTGAAGCTGCCTGTGGCTGCCAAGAATCCACAGTGGCCCTGTGAAACTGAACAGATCTGAGGTGAGATATTTTCTTTAACAGATATGGGCAAAAGTGTGAGGTTACCCAGAAGTGACCAGTGCTTCGTGCGTCTGTGGGCAGCATGCACTATGCAGCAAGCTGGGGTCACTTTGCCTGATACGGGATCTGGAACATCATTAACTATTGGCATAATCTTTACACAGCAAAAATCCCTATAATCACCATTGTTCATATAGAAATAAGACCCTCTGAGAATTCCCATATTTGGAGAATTAACTAGCTGTGCTAATGAAGACACGTGATCACATAATTGCCAAAATGACTCTCTCACTGCAAAATCTATCAGAATTTAGGTTTGTCTTGGTTGGGTAACAATAAAATATAAGGAGAGATGTAGGCGGGGTCTTTGCAGGGACTGCTAGTTCCAAAATAAATGCAGAGACTTAATATTAATTATAAATGCTTGGCCGATAGCTGGGGTTTGTTACTAGCTAACTCTTACATTTTAAATTATCTTGTATTTCTTAACTACGCTCTGCCATGTGGTGGTAAGTTCTTTCAATACGGCATGTCCATCTTGCTTCTCTCTTTGTCTGTTTGTGACTCCTCTCACACCATCCTTCTTCTTCCCAGGGTCCTTAGTCTGGTTCTCCAGCCTAACCTTATCCTGTCTAGCCATTGGATAGTCAGTTTCTTTATTAAACCAATCACAGCATAATTTACACAGTATACAGAAGAATTATTATTCCACAGCAGATAAAGAGTGTGTGTTTGTGTGCGAGGAGATTACAATGGGATATTAAACACACTTAATGTGATATTAAATATAAATAATTCAAATGGTGAATGAGTGAGATCTGGAGATACCGCTCAGTGGCTAAGGATGCTCACAGCTCTTGTGGAGGACCCAAGTTCAGTTCCTACACCTATGCCAGGTCGCTGTGGAACAATCCTTCTGACACTGTGAATGTGTTTCTCTCATTGGTTAATAAAGAAGCTGACAGGCAGGTGACTAGGCAGGAATTATAGGCGGGACAGCCAGACACAGAGGACTCTGGGAAGAAAAAGTTCATGGCAGCACATAGAGTAATATGGGCTAATTTAAGTTGTAAGAGATAGTTAGTCATAAGTCTGAACTATTGACTGAGCATTTATAATTAATATTAAGCCTCCGTGTAGGTTATTTGGGAACTGGTAGGCAGGAAAGAAAAGTCCACCAATGTCAGATGGCTCAATAATGCCTGTAACTTCAACTCTGGAGGATTCAGTGCCCTAATGTGGCCACACCAGGAACCTGTACACACACACACA